AGAATTCTCAAGATACATCAGACTTGAAACCGTAGTAAATCTTGATCAAGATCTTGATCAAGTTTTTCCAAGGACATCAAGTGCAGAGGTATCAATAAATCTTGATCAAGAATTTTCAAGAAAAAAATCTTTAAAGAACTTGTGCAGATTTTCTCTTTCTGCAAGACGTGGGTACTCTGCCTCAACAGAAAATAGAAATTGTGAAAGATAATATGATGATCGAGCAAAGACTAGAATAGATTCGTGAACTAATCATTTTTCACTGGCAATAGAAGCAGCGATGAGTTGTGTCAGAAACTTCGTTCAACTGGAGACTGCGTCAAAAGAAAGAAAAGCTCTTTATAAATCGTAGAAACAAAGTTCATCAGTTTCTCATGCTTATATAACTGGACACTTTCCATTATTAGTTAAAGCAGTTGAACGTATTCTTGTCAAATTATTATTACATTAAATAGTCTGTTTGAGTTGTCCATTTGAATCAATCGAAAAGAATTTTTTCTCAATTCACATGCAAAAGTTCGTGTCTAGCGCTCTTATTTTAAAGAAATTATCAAAAAGTATTAAAAAAAAGTGGTGCGAAACTATAAGCTCATTTCAATTTTTTTCAATTTAAAAAGTTCAAAGGCTTTTTAAATCAGATTTTTTTATTCACCAATATGTTGTCTTCTCGCCATTAAGTTTTATAACTTCGAAAAGTCTGTTTGGCATACTCGAAACTAAGTTTTTTATTTTAGTGGACTTATTTTCGACCATTCAGTTTTAATTGTTTTTTTAGCTCTTCTTTATAATAAAATTGTCTTCCACCGGCATAAACGCGTTTCGGTAATATTCTCCACAAGTTTTCGATGAGATTTAAGTCTGATGAAAGTGAAGACCACTCTAATAATTGAATCTTTTTGGCTCTAAACCATGGTAAATTAGCCTTTGCTCGATGAATTGGTGCTTTATCTTGCTGCAAAAACCAATCACCTCCGCCAGTCGTAGTGCCAATGTTCAGCAAATGATTTTCTAATACATTTCGATAACCGTCTGGATTCAGTTTGGTGTCAATAAAGCAAATCTCGTTTGTTCCATTGTGACGCCTCCTATATCATCATACTACGACCACCCGTATTTCTCCTAGTCGAAAATATTTTTCTTTACGCAAATCGTACCAATAGAAGTTAATAATAATAGATGGGCTAGAAGACTACTACTTGCATTAGTGGGTAAAACAGGCGGCAGCGACGCCAAAAAAGCGATGGCTCATAGACTGTAACGTGCCGTTTAAGGACATTTTCCCGGAGGAATATACCTTCCGTAAGCATGCAAGTTAAAGTCTATTCTGCTCAATCACACACAGTGGGCATTTTTTGCTAGAGCAGGCGGACTTTAGCTTTATGAGTGAGCTAAAATTTCATGAACCATTTTTTTATAGGTTTTTCATGATCCTCTTTCTAATGGCATGAGAGTTGGGTTTTGAAAAAGTTTTCTAAGGAGCTTTCCAGAGATCCGGTCTCGGGAAAACCATTCAAAAAGCTTTCTCAATATTTAAAAACAATGCCATCGGAAAGAGCATTGTCGAGAACCTATAAGAAACATGTTTCGAGTCGTTCAGGTTACTTTATCTTGAAATTCAAATTTTCAGCACGAAATTGTTTGTGTGAATCTCAAAAACTAAGAAATTTCTAGAATTCAAAATTATGCGACCGAAACTAGATGAGTTATACACCATTCAATGCAGTTTTTCACGCTGATTCTGAATATGATATTATTTTTGAATAAAAGTGCTTTCGTGACCAAAAAAACCTCGAAATACCGTAAAATCCGTATGGGTTTTGAAAAATTCATCATTCGGCTTTCAAAAATATGTGAGATTTTGTGAGATCAGTATAAGTAGAGTATTGTCTGAAGAGCATGTTGAGATAGTTAGATGTTA